TAGACCATTTTTCCAGGATGTTGGATTAAGATTTTTTATCGAAACCTCTGAACATGTGCGATAAAACTTTCTTTGACTATTCCGAACTCACAAGGCAAAGGAAAAACTTAGAAATTTTATAATATGGTCTGAAAAAAATCGAAGATAACGGACCTGAATGTCTAGATCACGAAGATGAAAAAATAAAAATATTAGTGATTCCATCAGCACCAAATGAACAGTTCTGGTCTGTTCGCAACTCTTCTACGTCGGACTTTACTCGCTGATTTTTATTGAATCTTTTTAACACATATTTGTTAATAAATTAAGCTGTTACTTGATATAATTTTTTAAAGGCATATTATTTACTCTTGACGTTATTAGTCGTAAAAAGTGACTTTAGTGACTTAATTTTAAGAAATAGTGACTTTTAGGTGACTGACTTGAAAATAGTGACCAAGTCACTAAAAAGTGACCCGCTACCAGCCCTGCATTGGGCTTCACGATGGGTTCAAAGATCACGCCTTGCCACTTTTCGCAAATTCCAAGGGAAAATAATGCACCATGAATCTTCTCAAAACCAGCAAATCTCATCCGAATCATAGCAAACTCGCAGCTGGTTTCGTCCAGAACAGCTTCTATTCGGGCCTCATGCCAACTAATGGTCGGTAGAGAAGGTCTTGTCGATAAGGCAGTCAAGACGGCCGAAAAGAGTAACCTCCAGCGATGATTGGTCAAATGACTGGAAGATCTGGTCGTCCAATAAGACGGTACGGTATGGAATGCGAACTGTATGGACGAAAAAAAATTGACGGCTGATGATTTTTTCCCAAGTTTATCAGTGTTGTTTATTTATTTATTTAAAAATTCAACTGACAATTATTGTTTAAATGAATAAAACTTAAACTAAATAGTTGCGGTCAACGGTACGGAAAATACCAAGTAGCCGATGACGAAACACGTCAGCTGATACATTGAAGTCGAACATATAAAAAAAAATGGTTGAATTGCCGGCTGATTGCTCGAATTCGCTCATGTTGTGTATAATTCCGGCTCCGTGGTTCCAAAAACAGAAAGTCGCGTTGACGAAGAGACCTCTCAGGGGCATACATATTTAGCTGTGACAGCAGTGTTGGACAGTCAATGTCACCTGTAAGCAGCTTTCCAGCGAACATAGCTTGAGCGACCGTCCGTCTCACCTCTAATGGTTCGATTCCCAGGAGACGGCAACGCTCCTTGTACGGTGGCAAGTTCGTTGGGTCACGCCAGTTGAGGAAACGAAGAGTATATCTCACAAACTTGCGTTGAACAGATTCAATTCTAGTGATCCAGCTAGCATGGAAAGGGCACCAAACAACTGAACTTGACTCCAATAAGGATCGCACAAGCGAGCAGTAAAGTGACCTGAATAAAATGCTCCATTTGCAAAATAAAAGAATTATTTTAAGATTGCACTCGTATACCTCACCGTGTAAAAATTTGAAACCATCATCACTCTCATAGTTTTTCTATTCTCCACGAGTGCCAACTTTGATTTGCCAGTACATTTTAAATTGACGTCAATACATCGGTATTGACAATATTTCTGTATTCACATCATCAATATTATTGTCAATAATTCCCCTTCGTGTCAATATATTGATGCGTGTGGGGTTTGCTTATTGTCAATACATTCTATATTGACGTCAATATATCGAGATTGACAATATTTTAGTATTCTCAAGTGGACCCTACACGGTTGCTTTTATTGACAATAATCGTATTGTCAATACATTCTATATTGACGTCAATACATCGAGATTGACAATATTTATGAATTCACATCATCAATATTATTGTCAATACTTGTAAGTATTGACAATATTTCTTACCGTGTGGGGTTTGCTTCAGTATCATTATTTTTGTCATTAATTCTCCTTCGCGTCAATATAGCGCCCATTACATATGTCAATATATTGACAAACATCGTATTGTCAATTTTCCTTACAATATAATCAATATATAAATATTGACAACATTAATGACAATACACTAAAGCGTTTGTTACTCAGGTCAATATATTGACAAAAAATTGACATACTGACAATATTATTGAAAGATAATATTGATGACGATGGTTTGATGACGAGTATTGTTGAAAACTGATTTTCATTTCACTTTCTCAATATTCTTCCCCCACCCAAGAGGAGGGAGAACGTACGTCATTTAAACCGACTGACTCACAATGCACCTTCACGCATGCAGTGTTGGCATTTTGTTTAAATCTTCGTGTGTGATATAAAATGGATATCAAACTAAATAAAAAAAGTTTCCTTTTACAGTCGCCAATCACTACCCAGGCTTCGTCTATATCGATGTTCATTTTCTACAAAATCACAAGCATAATCATGTAATTTTGTTTTTTTTTTACTTTAAAATAAAATTAATACTATCTGCGTTTCACATGTAACGCAAATTCAATAATATATGCAAGTTTTTCCTTTAGGAATGTTTACCAAAACATCAGCATAATAGTTTATGTATGGGAAACTGCATACCATGAACGTGGGTTATTCAACACGAGTGGTAATTCCACGCAGTCGACAATCGATTTGATTCAATTCCATTAATTTGTTATCATGTTGTCCTGTGTATTTTCTGTGTCCTGTCAAAAAATTACAACATTTGATATTGGCGTTGACGGAACCGTCGAGAAATCATATCTTCTAACAAACATTGACAGTTTCTTATTGGAACTTTCAGTGGAGTGAAAGGATAGTACCAACTAGAAATGCTCAGAGGGTGTGATAGGCGGAGAAAACAAAATACAATACGGCAGCAAGGATTTGTTCCTTAATTATCTTGCAACCCTTGCTAGAAGCTAGCATTTCAAATGACTTTTATTTTTGATTCGATTTACATGCAAAATAATAATTGATTGCATCGCAATATTTTGCACATTTCTTGGTGCCATTCATTAACCAACGAAGATCATTTTGTATTGTTTTTGGTTCCAAAACCTAGTTGAATTTGAGAAGCACACAAAACATAAAGGGGATTGAATTTCTGTTCGATTGCAATACTTTCAAATTTATTCTAGAAAGAATAAGAAATCCTCGGAAAAATTCTAATGGGAATGTTCGATTGGCTCAGATTTTGACAGTTTATTTGGCTCAAAACATTCTCTCCGCCCATCTCTTCCTCTGAGTATTTCTAGTACCAACCAATTCAACAATTTTGAAATTTATTACGAAATTGTACGGACCTATTTAAAACCGTTCAATGATAATGTGTCGATTTTATTGTTTTCTTACGAGTGATGGTAATTTGAAATTTTACCGACTTTTTCAGTAGTTCAAAAACCGGGTAAAATTTTACCGACTCAGGTTATCCGAATTCAGTGTGTAGTTAGTATTTTCTACACTCAAAAAATAAATCACATTTCCAATGGAAAATATCCATTAGAATTTCACTTAACTTTCATGTGATCTCATAATTGGGAATCGCATCACAAAACCACATGAACCTTATGTGTCCAATGAAGTTTATGTGATTTGTCATATACAATTCATGTGATCGTATGAACGTTATTTGAATTTCAGATAAAAATCATTAATTTTGTTATTGGAAAAATATCATGTGCGTTCCCAATGGAAACTATATGAAAACTTTTTCAGTGCATAGGTCCAGTAAGGACGTTTCTCTTTTGACCCGCTGATCCATGTTTCTTGTGTGGGGAAATTAAGAAAGTAATATTGACTTTAATACATTGAGGTTAAAAGGCTTCAAACGTATTGCCATTGATGTTGTCAATATTCGTATATTGATGATATTGATAGAATTGACTGTTTTTTTTTGTCAATATATTCTGAGTATTGACAAAGTGAAATGAAAATCAGCTTTTCGTCAATACTTGTCATCAATCATCATCATCAATATCACCTTTTCAATAATATTGTCAGTATGTCAATTTATTGTCAATATATTGATATGTGTAATGGACGCTTATGAGTGAGGTCGCTCAATCAAATTAAAACATTTAGAATTGATACGAATGCATTTCCAGCCTCCATTTTTCAATTAAGATTATGTCCCCTTTCGGGGCAGTCAAAAATTGCCGTAGCGGACGGTATTTCACGTCCTCATGGCGGGGTATTGGTATTAGTTTTCAACTAGCAATAATCGCACCTCGGTTGTACCTCATTGGTTACGATATCGCCACTGCGCAAAGTTAACGAGAAAATACCGCCGACCGCGAGTCTACCTCGCGACGACGTTCTACGCTAGCGAATTTTACCCATTTTTCTGCCCGCCGTCACCGACAGCTGCTGATCCCCTCGTTCGTTTTGATTTCTTCTATTCTATACGTTCACCAACCCTCTTTTTTCCCAATTTTTGTTTACATCCGCACGCACGCGGTGCGTTGCTTGGCTCGATGACGTCCCACCCCACCCGAAGAACGCGCCAAAAACGAAAACAGGGCTGCTTCTTCCTTTTTTTCGTTTACACATTTTCGGCAGCTGTGCCTGCGCTCTTTCACTCTTCTTATTGGTATTCGGCAAAGAGAGGCATCCACTCTGGAGAGAACGGTACAAATGTACGAAAAGCTGTGCTGTCTATCATGATCCCCATTCCAATTAGAGTGTGACTGATTCTGACTGGATTCATATGAATGGATCTCGATATGGTTGATATGCTTTAACAAATTTATAAAATATAATCAGAACAAATTATTAATTTTGTAAAACGGCAAACGCCAGCTAGGAAGTTAGCCAATGGCTTTTTATATTTTTAACTAAATATTAAACAACGAGAAGTGGATCACTTACCATGTAAACTTATGGATTGAATGCAAGACTTTTGTGTCACATATTTACACAGACTGTTGGGAAAAGTATCCCAGATTGTACAGAAAAAGGTTTTTGAAACAGATGCAGACATGAACAAAATGTGGATTCACTCAAATTCACATTCTTTGCCGTTCAACCGAAATGCTTATTTAGAATGCAGCGATAATGTATTATAGTTCTAGAAGTACTCACCGTGGTCAGATCCGTGTCCGGATTGTACGGGATGGAGACCGCCCGCGGTTGCAGCCAGGTGAACGGATTCCAGAAGGGCGTATTCTGATTGCCAGAAGTGCTGGTAAAGGTTGCACTACTCGTCGGTACCCCGTTGCCGGTCGACGAGCTGCTGATTCTGAGATAAGCTGCAGTCACATCCGCCGGTTCGTTCGGTTGCTGGCCGGCTGTGTCCAGGTAGTTTTGTGCCGTGGCCGCCGTCGACATCAGCTGGTTGATGATGTTATCGAAGAGGCTTTCACCGGCTGCAGCGGGCCACACTAGCTGGTTGTGGCTGAACAAGAGCAGGAGTAGCAGTACGGTCGGTCCGCTGCTGGAGGTGTTGACCAAGGTCATGGCGGAGGGAAAACCGGTTCCCGGTGTGCGCTTTATTGATGGATTCTCGTTGATTTTTTATGCTTCTCACTTCTTTCGGACCTGGTCTCGGGTGGTCTACCTGTGCTTTTGTTTCCTATTGAAAGAGGAGGAAAAAAGCCGGTTCAGGTTGATATAGAGAAGGTTTCTGCTTCCGCGTGAAAATAACTAACGGGAACCGCCGCCGGTGCGGTGATGGGTTGTCACGATATAGGCCAAGAGGTTGGTTTGTGTTGTTTTTTTTTGCTCAGTTGGAATAAATTTAAATGCCAAGCGCAACCGTGTGAGCGATCTATGCACCGCAGCAGCTTCGATCGAATTGAAATAAGTGGCGAAAGCAACAATAAGACTCCGTCCGCTTAATTAATCAACCACGCAACGACTTTGTAAATAAATCGAGTGAATGACTCATCCGTCAATTTTTCCACTCGAACGCGATTGCTCGCGGTTTCTTGGAAAACGAAACGTGATAAAGTATGTCGATTAACAGCAGCGTCCACCGAGAAAAATGGGATTCTTTATCAAAGTATTGCTTGGATTGCACAGTTTAAGTGTTTACTCATGAAGTCAAAGGTTCATCTGCTCCTTCAGATTAGAAAACAGCACTTCCTCAATGACTCAAACACTGATCTATATGCGAACACGAAGGCAAAACCACAAACAATGCGGACCACCATCCCATCCTAGTATGGCACACTACGATGGTGCATGATGAATGACACTTTCTCACGTTTCGCCCTCTTTCCAGACGGTGTTTGGGTGCACTTTTCAGCGTTCATTTCGGATGCAGGTCAACAGACACAACCCTCCCCCTTTTTTCGAAGGGTGTAGAGTTCAAGATCAATGTCACTCACTTTCGAAAATGCACCACGAAAACGCGCGTATTCGGAGACTTTTCCGTGAAAATAGTCGCAGCGCTGTTTCAGGTTTCTCTTCGGCGGCAAGAAAGCGCGTCTCGCGTGTTTTACTAAAAGGCAGAGAAAGAGCGAAGAAAGGTCTTAACGCGCCCACATTGTGGAATAGACTGAATACTGAATGACTGCTTTGGGTCTGGTCTGTCGTTTGGCTTTTCCAATTCACTCGCATGTTGATGTTTTTATTTTTTATTTAATGAGATTTTCGTGAATGAGAATCGCTCTTTGTTGGGATGCGAGCAGCGACCAGCGAGAGTCTTTCTCCTTTCTCTGTGAGAAAGAGTGAGAGTGTATATGTGACTTTGTTTGTTGTTTTTGGAAAGGGCGTATTGAAAATTGTTGTTGGGTTGTGGCTCTCTGTTCCTTATTCGAAATCTTTATTATATTATTATATATATATATTAAACGTTCTAATATAATTCTCTTTCCGAAAATGTATGGAGAAAACAAGAATTTGGAATGGTAATGGTTCTTAACAACCCATTATTTGTAAGGTCCGCTTCCAAAAAACCATAATACATAAGGTTAAAACTTTATGTCACAAACGTTCATGTAAAGTTCCATAACCATTTCAGTTGAAGTTTAGCAGGGATTATAAACAATTTATAACCATTATCGGTAAGGTCATGTGATGGTTCGCGTTTATGCGGGTAGTTGGGCTGAGCTGTCAAAGGTGAAAATTGGTTGAAGGATACAACGAGTGTTTATTATCATCAAAATCGATTAGCAACTACCCAAATTACTCGTCCATGAGCCCCTCGAAAAGGAGCCAGCACTGTCAGAAATGACGTTTGCCTTCGATTTAGGTACAGCCCAACTAAAACGTACACGGCGAATGAGAACGACCCAAATTTGAGTTTAGTTCACTCATAATCGCCAAAAGTGCAGGAACTCAGCGATGAGTAAATTTGTCTCATGGTTTCCTGTGGAAACCCTAAAAAATCTGCCGGAAAATGAGAAAATTAACGAAAATTTTATTCACTTTCGGAGTAGTACCAATAGCTGGGTGAATCCAATCTTTATTTTTCTCATATCGGGAATTTTTCCCTGGAAAATCCTGGGAAAACATGAGAAAAATTTTACTCATCGCTGAGTTCCTGCACTTTTGGCGATTATGAGTGAACTAAACTCAAATTTGGGTCGTTCTCATTCGCCGTGTAACCCACTTAAAGATAGCGCAGCGCGCGAAATTCGACTAACATCTCATGAAAAATCAAAAGTCATTCACTGCTCAATCTATCAGAATGTGTTGTACCGTGGGGCCTCCGGTAATCTGACCGAATTTAATCTGAATACTAATCCGTCAATCTGCACGCTGAGCAAACTAAAAATGGCCCAAACGTCATTAAGCACATAGAATTAAGAATTATCTAAATCCGTTCCAACTCCAACTAAATGTGCTGTAGATAGTAAGCTATTAAGCAAACCCCACACGCATCAATATATTGACGCGAAGGGGAATTATTGACAATAATATTGATGATGTGAATTCATAAATATTGTCAATCTCGATATATTGACGTCAATATAGCATGTATTGACAATACGATTATTGTCAATAAAAGCAATAGTGTAGAGTTCACTTTAGAACACAGCTTTCTTATTGGATTGGGTCGGGATGTGCGCGTACGCACGTCCCGGCTATCAAAAATTCCGCATACGAGTTATCCACATGAGGGATAATCGCAGGGGTCAACCCGACCGAAGTGCAATGGAAGGGCCTCTCCCTGGGGGAACCGCCTTCGTGATCACGGTAACCCCTACGCCAGGTAAGTATGCTTAGTCGAGCTCTGGCTCGCAAACCACACCGCACGAAGCGGTGTTGTGTTAGTGATTGACAGTCCGAATTCACCACTGTACTGTCGGGGTTGAGAGAGGCAGTGTGAGCGAGAGAGCGGCAGTCTGACTGTCTGTGAACAATACAGGTGTATTCAGATCTGCTGAGCGATGTTTCACGCGCGGAGAGAGATTTTGCGAGGGTACGAGAGGGAGAAAGGTACTAGTTGTCTCTCTCATTCCAACGCAAATTTTGCTCCGCTCCGCTAATGTTCGCTCAGATCTGAATACACCTTACTGCGCACTTTTGGCTTTCTTTTTCTTTTTGCTTCACACAGCGGGAACGGCACAGCACACCAGAATGCGATAGAAATAATTCGCTGCTGCGAAGCATGGGGCATGGCATTTTCACGCAAAGATTGACGCTTAGCTACGGGGTTTTTGGGGGAGTGACCGAATAAGAAAAAAGTCGCCGTTTCACGCATCCAGCGACGATTTCTTTTGGGATTTCCTCAAAGGAGTAAGTGGACCTTAAGTGGACCCTACACGATTGCTTCTATTGACAATAATCGTATTGTCAATACATTCTATATTGACGTCAATATATCGAGATTGACAATATTTCTGAATTCACATCATCAATATTATTGTCAATAGTTCCCCTTCGCGTCAATATATTGGTTTGCTTAACAAGAATAATTATGCAATAATTATTGCTATTACAGTCAACTCTCCATTTCTCGATGTGCTGCACGGCCAATGAGTGCAACCCAAAGTTGTGTTCAGTTTACTCATAAAACGCAAAAAGTGCAGGAACTCAGCGATGAGTAAATTTCCTCATGTTTTTCGACAAAAAAATCCCAAAATACCTATGAGAAAAGTAAAGATTAGAATCTCTGTCTATTGGCACTTCTTCTAGACTGAGTGAAATTTTCCTGATTTTCCGGCAGATTTCTGAGGTTTTCCACAATTTACTCATCGTAGAGTCCCTGCACTTTTGGCGATTTATGAGAAAACTGAACTCAAATTAGGGTTGATCGCATTGGCCGTGTAGTTAGAAAAGTTTAATTCCTTCACAGAAAAACAAAACTACCCACCGCTTGGGTTTTTTAAACTCAAATTTGAGTTATTTGACCTCTGCCCGTTTCATTTCCTCTCGCTATTGTTGTCAAAAATAGAACGAAAGATTCGACTCAACCGTCTAGTTCCGTACAAGAAGCCAAAATTGAGTAATATGCGATATACCCAAATTTGAGTTAATTGAACTTAATTTTGGGTAGAAAAAATTGAAAATAACTTAGCGACGGGTAATTTTTTTTGCCGTCCTTAAATGCAAACTACTTTGAGCCGGTTTACCCAAATTTGGCTTATCGTACGGAACATGGGAGATGAGTGAAAAGAACTTAATTTTGGGTTGTTTTGAATTTCTGTGTTCAGATTTCTACACGGCGAAGGAGAACAACTCAAATTTGAATTTAGTTTGCCCATAACCGCTGAAAGTGTAGGAACTCAGGGATGAGTCAATTTATCTCATGCTTTACTGTGGAAAACCTCAAAAATCTATCGGAAAATTAACGAAAATTTCATTCAGTCTAGGAGTACACTGAAAAAAGTTTTCATTTCACATGATATTCATATGATCACATGAATTCTATGTGATTAATCGCAATTATGAGATCGCATGAAAGAAATTCTAATGGATATTTTCCATTGGAAATGTGAATTATTTTTTGAGTGTAGTACCGATAGCCTGAGTGAATCCGATCTTTGCTATTCTCATATTCGGGATTTGTTGCCAGGATAAACCTTGAAAAACTTGAGGCTCATCGCTGAGTTCCTGCACTGTGGTTTATGAGTAAATTAAAGTCAATTTTGGGTCATTCTCATTCGCCGTGCACAAATCCAGTTTTCTGTATCGAGTTTTTCTCTATCGCAATTCTCAATGCCTAGAAAATATTCGGGAACAAATTACTCACCATATGTCGATGTAAAAATCTAGTTCACTAGTTTTTGCTACGTTTGAAGTAATCGATCGAGTTTTACTTTGGATGTGTGATAAATAAAGAATCGTACTAGTAGGCTAATAAATTATTACTGTTCTTCATGTCAATCTCTCCCTCGATTCTTCTAAGATCTTGATGGTCCCTTTAATATCGAGAAATGGAAAGTTGACTGTAGAATCTAATTGGTTTTTCCTATAAGGTATCCCTACAAATGTTGCATTCTAACTGGAACTGTGACTAATCTAATTGGTTTCCAATGAGACCAGTTGGATTTTGTCCCCTTAAATTTGCTTCCGCGAGTATTTCGACCTTCATCGACCACGCATTGCTTTTGTCCACAAGCTGAGCAATCTCAATGATCTCTACACGGTAAGAAAAAAGTACCGAGCGGCCAATGCATTTTTACCTGCTTTTGACTTGTTTGTCTCCTTTCTCCATCTAATGCTGGGTTTAGACTAGGCAAGTCAAATGATCAACTCAGTTGAATTAATTATATGATTTGAGTAGTAGCTATACTGAAGATCCGAGAGATGTCGCCCCTTCAGTGGTAGGAAAATCATTTTTGCAGTATGGAGAATATCAGAAAATCCACGATTGGTGACTAAACATGCTTT